TTGTCTAAATCTGAAATACATGGGATCGACATCATTCCACTACAACCTTCATTTTTTCAAGGGTCGTGAGCTCGTCCGCGTCGAACTCGCAATTTCTCAGCACGATCTCCGAAACGACTCCTTCGAAGATTGTCGCTAGCCTGATCGGAGACACGTGCATCTCTTCCAGACAGAGGATCGGAGGCGAGTTATCGTCGCATACGCGCTCTCCGCCGTCTTCGTCTTCGACGACGGCGGAGAACCTCAACTTGCGACATCTCACCAAACGAACGTGCAGGAAGACGTTCCTCTTTCGAATCAGGGTCATCACGAAAGAGTCGACGATCGGCACGTCCACCAGAGTCAACCGTTGCAGGGAAGGCAAACCGAGAAGGTGGTTCGCGAACGTCTTTCCGAGTCGGTACCCCTCGTCCTCGAATCCGTTCATTGCCACGGATATCTCGTACGGATCGTGATGAGCCAGCTCGACCTGCACGAGTTTGAGGATCGTCACGAAATCCAAGACCGCGGGCTCCACTGTTATGGATTTTAGAACCTCGCGAACGCAATCTCTCCGTCTGGAGGCGCGAACGGCGTCGCTGTTGCAAGCGCGACATCGGTCGACCATCCGGTCGACCCGAGCGCGACTGGACATCTCGCCGCAGACGACGCATGAAAATAACACGCATCGGCTGCACGGCGTGCTCTTCTTGCAATCTCCGCAAATCTCACGTCTGCATTCCGTTCCGTGCATGACTTCGTCCCAAAAATTGGAAATGTTGGATAACTGCAACCTGATCGCCGGTTCGTCCTTCGTCGCTTCTCTCGCTTCGTTGCAGAGTTCGACGGGAACCTCCATCATCGTCATCCTTGATTTCTTTTAATTTTAAGCGCAGCGAACTGTATAGCGCGTTATGCAAGTTTGGAAGATGCTAATAATATTCACACAACAAACGTATAATTTCATTTTTTTAGTAATTTTTATTTTTCGATTTAACAGAAAGTTAAAGATATCAAAACTATAATAATTTAATGTCCCACAGCTTGTTCTTGAGGGCTTCCATCGGATTCGAGAAGTAATAATGCATGTGCCGGAGATCTCTAGTAGCCTCATGCAGTCCGAGCGTCATTCGGTAACAGACGTGGATGTCGCCGACGTTGCGAACGGCCAACAACAGATTT